GCAGCTCAAAGGTATTAATGGTTTCCTAAACATTTCCTGTCTGTAATCTTCATGATTCAGTTTATTTTTTGAGTCACAGTATGCTTACTTCCTAACACCTTCTCCTGGAGTAAAAACTTTCATGTATACGCTTCTACTTCATAATAAGGCTTGCAAGAATTCACAGTCTTATTTCATGGTACAGTAAACTTTAATAACAGTGAACATCCCCAAAAGTAAGAATCTGATTTATTTTTTTCTGTATGTGAGTTTACTCTTAATCAGAATTACTGCTCCTTTGATTCAGTGGATTAAATTGAACAAAAATTGATTCTAGGTTGAATCCATCAATCCAAACATCTCAACTGACCCAATTTTCTGCTTCAAAATCAGTTTACTTTAGGAATCATGCTAACCATCCACTAATCCCACTGAAATAAGAAATATTTATGCATTCACTTAGATATAGCAGGGATAATATATCACTGAGGTCTAAACTGTAAAGAAGCTGTGTGGTAGATGTAAGGTTTTCTAAAAGGCAAAAACATAAGACCATCATGTAAGAACCTAAGAAACACCCTGTGTAGTCAGTGCAATGGTGCATCTAGCCTAGAACTCTCTGAGAGCAGAAAAAGAGATGCTATTTCGGGAGAGTATATTAGCTTGGTGACTTCTAGCTGTCTGCTCCCTTTGAAACTGCCAAGCATTTGGGTGTATTAAAGAAATCAGAGGATCCTTTAATATCCATCTACAGCCTTTTTGGTTGGGAATTTGTCTAATCTCTTACCAAACCTTCTGAATAAATTCTCTAGCTACATCACATATGGTGATGCAAACAAAGAAATGTCATATACTAAAAGGTTTTTTTTGTGAGTTTTAGTCCAAAATTCCACAAAGTTCTTCAAGTACCTTCTTGCTTCTTGTGAACAGCCTTCAGTGAACAGCAGTTCTGCTTTCAGCTTAACCCCTGCTATCATGATTTTCTTTCAAAGCTTCCTCTCTTTCCCTCATGCTTTTCTTCTACAAACTTAAAGGGTCCTTGCTTTTTCATAAGACAGTTTCTCTATTCCACTGATCACTTTTGTTGTCTTTCTGAACACATTCTACATATCCAACATCTTCTAGATTAATATTTCCTTAAATATTAGATTACCTGGGGAAAAGTTATAAACTTTAAAAAGTGACAACTCACCTCTTCCTTTGAGATTTACCAGTTCAAAGCAAAGTTTCCAGATGATCAACTACTGTTGTAATAAACTTTTTAATACACCACTATAGCACTTGCTTTTGTTTTTTTCCCTTGTTAAAATTAAGTATAGGTATGAGGCAATTTCCTAGTGGAAGGTTAAATTAACACATGGGAAAAAATAATATCCCAGAAATTTTTAAACATTTGTGCAAATTCTGGCTTTGGAAAAGCATTGCATATGGACAACCACTTTTTCAGCTACAAAGTTGACTGGTTGACAAAGGTGACACAAACGAAGGTTATGGAAAACTTTTAGATGTGGTCAAATGTTTATGGTCTTACAAACTGTGTAGGCTCAGGTAGTTCCATTAATTTCTTATCTGAAGTATTACATCTGTAAACTATCAACAGAATTGGGCAAAGATTCCTCATTTGTAATAGACTCCCAAGACAGTTTATGTTGGAAATGACTTCTTGAGGTCATCTGGTCTGATCCTCACCGAAAGCAAGACCAGCTAGATGAGGTAGTTCAGGTAACTGTCCTGTCAAGACCTGAATACGTCTCCAAGGACTGGGATTCCACAACCTTTCCAGGCAGCTTGTTTCAGCAGTTAGCCACCTTTGGGGGGGGATTTTGCCCCTAATATCTATTCAGAATGCTACTGCATTCCAATTTGGTACGTTGCCTCTTGGTTACCACAATTTTCACGTCCATGAACAGCCTTGTTGCCTTTCATGTATCCTCCAAGGAAGTAGTTATAAACCCTAATAAAATATTCTATTACCCTTTTTTTCAGGCTGAACAGGTAAATCACCTCAACTTCTCCTTGTGCACCAAATTGCTCAGGCCCTTGGCCATCTTCCTGGCCCTTTGCTGGACTTGCCACAATATGGCAATGCCCTTCTTTTAGTGGAGAATGTAAAATTTAGGTGCAGTCCTTCAGATGCAGTTTCACAAGTTACAAGTAGAAAAATAATCACCTCCAGACTTGCTAGCGACACTCTTCCACCAGCCAATACTGTGGTCATTGAAGTTGCAGATGTGTATGAAGAACTGTGATGATGAGACTTCTTCAAGATGTTTTAAGAAGGCTTCATTTACTTTTTCTTGATCAGGTGGTCTATGGCAGATGCCCACCACACAACCTGTGTGGTTTTGCCTGCTAATCCTTACCAATAAGCTCTTGACTGACTCATCGTTCATTCCAAAATATATATACCAGACACTCTCCTTTGCATAGTGTGAAACTGTCTCACCTTTTCAGTTTATCTTTCTTAAAGACCGACTATCCTTCCCTTGTAGCACTCTGTTGGCTATCCAGCCAAATCTTTCTAAATCCCATGAGATCACTGCTGTGCAACTGCACACACACTTGTAATTCCTCATGTTTCCATCACTGCTGCATGCATTTCTGCATTTGTACTAAAGAGGGACTCTCTCAGTTATGCCACTTTCACGAGTGTGAGAACCTCCCCTACTGTTCTGCCACCTAGGCATTTTCTCATTGCTTTATGTGCGTTCACATCTCCTTCTTAAAGCTATTGTCCAATGGTGTATCCAGTTTAAAGACCACTTGGCAGGGTAGGAAGCCTGCTGCCCAAAATGCTCTTTTTCCACTTTCTCAACTGGGACACACCTCTCACTGTCCCTCAGAGGGAGAATTAAAAGCCAAAGATCTGTCTGCAATTCCAGCCACACAGCCAAGAACTCCTCTGCATGACATGCCCAAACCTACTTAAGCCTTTGACTTTCCTCATTTCCTCCAGTCCCTTCTTCACTTTTCCTAGTGCTCTGTAATCACTCTTCAGTTTGTTCCAGGTCTCCCTTTGGTAGTACTCCCATTTGGTTGGGCAACCAGAGGCAGGAGTCTGAGGGCAAGATGAACATCAGCAGTATCTCCAAAGGATCCAAGATCCTAGCACATCTTCCAAAAAATGAACACAAAGAGATGGGCAGGAGGTGCTACAGGTGCCAGAGCAGAGATTCCCCTGCAGCCTGTGGTTCAGACCATGGTCAGACAGCTGTCCACCTGCAGCCCATGGAGGTCCATGGTGGAGCAGATCTCCACCTGCAGCCCCATGTGGGAGGACCCCACAACAGAACAGGTAGGTGTGTCCTGGAGGAAACCCTGTGGGAAGACCGTGCTGGAGCAGGCTCCTGGTAAGACCTGTGACCCCATGGTAAGAGAAACGCATGCTGGAGCAGGTTTGCAGCAGGACTTGTGGGGGACCCACAGAGAAGAAGTCTGTTCTTATGTCACTGCACTCTGGAAAAGACCCATGCTGGAGTAGTTCACAAGAATTGCAGCCTGTGGGAGGGCTCACTTTGGAGAAGTTCGTACAGAACTGTCTCCTGTGGGAGGGACCCCACAGTGGAGCAGGGAAGAGTGTGAGGAGTCTTCCCCTCAGGAGGAAGGTGTGGCAGAGACATCTGATGAAATGACTACAACCCCCATTCCCTGTCTGTCTGAGGAGGTAGAGAATTTAGGAGTAAAGATAAGCCCAGGAAGAAAGGAGGAATGAGGGGAAGATGTTAAGGTTTAGTTTTGTCCTGGTTTCAGCTGTAACAGTTGGTTTTGGTTTTGGTTTGTGGCTTGTTTTTTTTTGTGTTGTTTTTTTTCCAGTAGCTGGTGCAGTGCTATGTTTCGGCTTTAGTCTGAGAGCAATGCTGATAACACGCCAATGTCTTAGCTTTTGCTAAGTAGTGCTTATCCTGGTCAAGGGCTTTTCAGTCTCTTATGCTTTGCCAGTGAGGAAAGGCACAAGAAGCCAGTAGGAAGCAGAGAGAGGACACTTGACCCAAACTAGCCAAAGGGGTATTCCATACCACAGCATGTCATGTCCAGTATATAAGCTGTAGGGAGTTGCCCAGAAGAGCAGATCACTGCTCAGGTTGGGCTTGGTATCTGTTGGAAGGTGGTGAGCAGTTGTATTGTGCATCACTTGTGTTTATTGTTTGGTTGGTTTTTAGTTTCCCCTTTTAGTTTTATTTTCTCTCGTCTTGTTATTTCCCATAGTAGTATATCATTCTTCAGTTATTAAACTGTTCTTATCTCAGTCCAGGTTTACATTCTTTTGATTCTCCGCCTCATCCTACCCAGGGAGTGTGAAAGGGGGAGTGAGTGAGCGCCTGAATGGTTCTGAGTTACGGGCTGGGTTTAAATGACAGCAAGTTTTTATTTGTCATTATCCTACTCTGGTTTGCAATAAATTAAACAAATTGTTAATTTGTAACAAATTAAACTAATTTCCCCAAGTCAAGTCTGTTTTGCCCATGCCAGTAATTGGTGAGTGATGTCTTCCTGTCCGGTTGAGGAGGGAAGTGATAGAGTGGATTTGGTTGGCCACATGTCATACAAACAGGACAAACCCACCACAGCAACCCTTATGACAACTACTGTATAAATACTCCCCCTATGTTTTTGTCCTTCAGAGTATCATAAGAAATTTAAAAGCTAACATTTTCTAGTAAGAAAGCCTGAAACAATATCATTCTACATTAAAGAAAAAAAACTAACTTTGGGAAAGATTTAGAAATTCAGAATCCCTCAAAGACACTAGAGTGAATACCACTGATAGTATTGGTTGATTTCCAAGACTCTTCATTCATCAGTTTACAAGGCAGGATTTCTGGTACACAGGTTATATCTTGTAAATAAATTCTGCTGATACCAGCTGCATAGTAATTGTAGAGTTTGCTTAAAGAATATTTGCTTGGTCATTCTCTCTTGTCAAGCAAAATAAGTGACTACTTAGTTGTGTGTTAATGAAAAACTGTATTTCGTTCTTAAATACCACAGAACATTTCTCACCTAAGTATCTGACTTCCTACCTGGCAAACAGCTACAGTAAAATTCATCAATCAAATCATGGCAATGGCCTCCATTTTTGCAGGGCTTGGAGGAGCATTCATCAATATCCATGGAACAGTTTTTGTCTGAAAGAAAAGAAAATTAAACATTAAAGCTATAAATCATGCTGGGTTTGTGAAAGCAGAAAAGCCACTTCACAGTGCAAGTGACAAGTGCATAATTTAAGTTTTCTGGGTTGGAAACACTATTTCTACTTAACAGCTTTAAAACCAGAGATATTCATAGATCATAGCTGATAGTGAACAAATTAAATATTTTAAAGGAATAAGTCTGACCTACATTTGCAAATATGTTTTGTGTATTGTAGCATTACATCTGAACACCATAATTAGTTTGACTATATGCCACATTCTAAAAAATATTTTAGAGACTTAATAACCTTAGTAACAATAATAAGAAAAATATTTCTCAAGGCTGCTTCCATGTTTAGATGAATGCAGTAATTTCTCAGATCCCAACAGAAAACCACAAATTTCCTCAACTGTTTCTTCATTTTTCTGCATTTAAAGAGAGTTGATTGAGTTGGAATTCAAATTAATTCAAATCTGAAACAAAAGAAGTATAGGAGAATATATAGAAGACTATCTAGAAGACAATATACGAGGTGGAGTATGAAAACAATTAACTCATTTGGCATACCAAAGAAAACCCACAGTTCCTCGTCTCTCTATAGTGCACTGCATTAATACAGAGCAAGCCCTACCCTGGTATAACTTATATTGTGATCTTTCTGATCCAAAATTGATCTAAAATGAAAGAACAACTGTAGAGGTTAAGAGTTTCCATGAACACCAGAAGCTACTCCAGCCATATAGAAGGAAAACTGTAGCTGTGACAGATGTAAGCAAGCAGAATGGCCACTGGTATTCTACACAGAAAGTGGTGGAAGGATCCTTGTGTCACTCAAATTGGATATATCAGGTAATGCCTCCCAGGAATCTCATTCTAAGGAGCTGAATTCAAGGATCACATGGGGTTTCTGGGGTAACCAGCACTCAGAGAATTATAGATTCATTCCATCAATAAATACATGGCTGGCAGAGGGCATAATCTGGCGCTTTTTCTTAACCATATGATATTCTTTGACCTAACAGGTAAAAATAGAATCTATGTAAAAATCATACAATTGATAGAGGGAAAAGTGATGAGAAGGCGGGGGGAACCCTCCTCTTTACACTGTTTCTCTAAAATAATTATTTAGAAAAGGCTGTAAGGGGAACAAAGCAGAAGCTCATAGACAAGGAGAATGATAGACTCTAGATCAGACTTAGCAAGTATGTGGGAAATACTGCACACTCATTGTTATCTGCTACATTTAATCATTCACTACAGATCACAAGTCCAGTAAAACCAGTAGAATGAAAGCTTAGGGTTTTATAGGCATTTTTTGTTTGTTGTTTGGTTTTGTTTTTTTAGTTTTTTAAATATATAAGAAAACTAGCAGGATTTTTAAGAATACAGGACTTAAGAGTATTAACTACCAAAACATTGTTTTGGAAGTGAAGCATCATTCAAAAATTCAAAGATTTCTGAATGTGCTATTTGCAATTTGTCGTGTGATAGTGGAAAAGACAACAACAAACAGATTTTTTGAGATTTGATTCCAAATGAAAAGGCAAAGTAGTATCTGAAAATGAGGAGAGGAATGCAAAGAACGTGGGTGAGAGCAATCAAGATCCATGGAAAGGGAGAGGGAAGGAGAGAAGGGTGAACAAAATAACAAAGAAATTCAGAAAAAGAAATCAAAGAATGCAGAAAATTTCTTATGTGAAACCTGCTGGGAGGTTGAATTAAATTAAAAGGCTAATTAAGGAAGGTGCTGCAGCAGGACCAGTTATCGTTTTGTGGGAGGAAGGCATGGGGTATTAGGAGACCGATCTGATACTTCCTGATTTTGAAAGGATGAAAATGCCCAACTAGCAAAACAATGTCAGGTTACTAAGGATAGCTTAAGAAGTACAGCGCAAGTAGGCAGGTATGAAATCAGACTGGCAAAGGCACTGAATAAGACGTAGCTATTGTAGGATGGTCAAGATAACAAGAAATGATGATGTAAGAACTTCAGCATTAAAGATGAATGAAAAGTGTGGTTTGCCATTAAATGGAGAAGGATGGACACTGATCATGGTAATCATGCCAGATTTTTAATGCTGTTTTTGCTTAATCCATCAGTAAAAAGGTCAACTGCATCAGATCATTACCCTAATTAATACCTATGATTAAAGGACAAAACTTCAGTATTGAACAGAAAAGGCAGGCTGGAGAATTATCACATGAGTTAGATGTTCATACAGGCTGGTTTGATGAACTTTACATTTGGTTAGTGGCTGATGAAAGCTCAGCAGTTTTCTTTGCAAACTTGTGTAAGATAGGTAAAGTACCTGAAGACTCTAAATAAAGTCTGCCTTTAAAAAAGAGTAAAAGACAGAGCTGGGAAATTATAGATCCACTTGTGTAATTTCTTTTCCTGGAGGAAATACAGGACAAACTTACTAAATTGATTAGTTGTAAGAACCTAAAGTATAAAATAATTTACAAAAAAATGAGCTTATGGAAGCAAACCAATTCCGTCCTACACTACAGTTCCAGGCCTTGTGGATTATAGAAAAAAAGAAGAAGTGGCATATATCATAGTCCTTGATTTCACTTATGTTTCTGCTGCTGTTTCATGTGAAATACTAATAATTGTACTGGATATGAACTACAAGATATGAGGTGAATAAAAAATGTTGGAAAGCCATATTCATACATTAGTTATCTGTGGTTTTCCTACCAAAATGTATAAAGATTTTGAAGCGGTCTACTGCCCATCTAGTTCCACTCATTTTTTTCAATAACAGTCTGGATGGTTGACAATGGAGTAAGCTTATTGGTGGCAACATGAAAAGGTATACTGGAGGACAGGATTAGAAGTCTTCAGAAATTTTGACAAATTGGAGATAGAGTTTGAAATAACAAATGTTATCCACTCAGAACAAGTTGAAGATCTCGAAATACAGCAAATCACCAGTTAATTAGGAACAAACTCCAGAATTTTGTTTCAAATCAAATAGTGTGCTGGGATATATAAAAAGGAACATAACCACTTAGAAGCATAAAATAATCCTTCCATTCTCATTGAGCTGGAGTAAAGCTTCATTTGGAGTGCTTTGCACTGTGCAGTGAGCTGCATTCAACAAAAATGTGGACCAAATGAAAACAGTCCATGTATAGATGACAGGAGTGACAAAGAACTTGACAGCCTGACTTCTTATGATAAACAAAACAAGTGGGGTCTAAAGCCTAAATAAAGAATATCTGAATAGAAATTATGATAATTACAAAATAAGAAAAGGCTTCTGCAAATGTCTTTAGTTCTCCATATTCGTAGCAGACAGAGTAAGAAATAATCTACATTTAAACTACAGTGAAAGATCAGATGATAAGGAACTACTTCTGATGCTCAGTATAAGAACACACTGGAAAGACTGCTTGAGGAAAATAAGGAATGCTGTTGGACTTCTTTAAGGTGAGACAAACATATGAGAGAAATAATGTATGTATAGTATAGGTTTTCTGCTGGGATGAGGATGGAATAGATAATATTTACTGTTTTGTTCTAGAGTTATATATTTTACAGAGCATACGCACTGTAACACTGAAGAAGGTCCAAAGGCTTTTATGTTCATACAGTGAATTAGTGAATTGACTGTCTGGAAATTTGCTTTGCCACATGGTAGAGTAAAGGTCTTAAGTTACTTGGGGTGTGATAAGAGAGCTCCCACTTTGGAACCCAGTGCTTCTGTCCAAATCTTTTTCTCCACTGTGTCTCTGTCAAAACACATTTCTGTCTTAGTCAGATAAAATGAAGGTAAGTACAGAATGCAGTAGACAAGAGAAACAAAAGATGAAAATATTAACACTAGTAGGCAAACACATTCTTCATGCACACCATAAATGTGCATGGTTTAAACTACAGAGGGGTAGATGGAAAATCCTACTCTTACAAAGAGAGCAGTACAGCTTTCAGCACATTCAATCTGTCTTCACCCCTCAAGTCTTTCTCATGAGAAAATCATAATGAGACAAATGAGCCATTTCATTGTTCCCTCTTTTTCTGTAGGTGGATGAGAAAAGCCCTTACCCTATTATTTCAACACTGACTTTTAAAAAGACACTTCATTTCCACTCTCTCTTCCTTTCTGGTACCTCCCTTCCACAGAACAGCAAGCATATACACTAACTCAAATCCTGTGGTAATTTTTTTTTTAGTTACACAGTACATTTTTTCTATGTACTGTGGGTCACTTCTGGTCACTTGCAGCTGCCAGATACAGGCAAAGAAAAAGACATGTAGGTTACAGCTGCTGAACTGTATGTGAGGAAACAAGTGATCTGAAAAGGACTGCTGAGGACCTCAGCATATGAGCCCTACTGCAGTGCTCTGAGGGGAAGAAAAAAAATCTCAAATGTATTTAAAAAACCAAGAATGGTTTTGTGTTGTATTGATGTGTAAAATACTGTTGCATAAAACATTAACTACAATGTTCCATATTAAAAATAAGTGGAAGAATGCAGGAAAAGACACACAATTTATTCAACAACTAAAGAAAGCATGCTGTTGGCAAAGGCTTAAAGAGCTCCATCTGTTTCATTTACAACAAACGAAAACAAGAAGTGACTTGATTACAGTGTAGAAGTGTCTTTACAAAGAGAAAATACTTGGGTAGCAAGAGGCTTTTTCATTTTTGTGTAGAAAAACTAATGATACACAGTGGCTCGAAGTTGAAGACAAAAATTTAAATAAAATATTTAATATAAACTTTTAAGTATGGTTGTGATTCCTACTAGAAAAAAATGCCAGTAAAATTCTGACTTGTCTTCATGCCTTTGTATCAAGTTTTAAGCCTTTTGGATTCATTGGGTGCTTTAATCAAAAGTAATTATGTTCAATACAAGGTGGTTAATGGGCAACATTAACTGCCTTCTGGTATACAGTTGGAACGTAGAGCATACAATCACAAATTTACAGGTTAGAAGACTTCCAGAATAAAGTTAATCATCCTGTAGCCTTCTATGAGTCTTT